TGTTAGAGGTGTGTGGGGGTGTGAGAACAAGAAGGAGGTGGAGGGGGGGTGCATCATCTTCTTGGACAAGTCTTTCAGCCCTACTGTCAGGTAGTTGAGGATCTGTAGGTGCACAGCTCTGGCAGACATGGACATGGCAGACTACAGCGAGGCTCTGGACCCGGCCTACACCACGCTGGAGTTTGAGAACATGCAGGTGCTCCCGCTGGGCACAGGTGAGTCACATTTATGCAGCTCCGGAGGGTGAACTTTGAGACTTTTACTGATTTAAAACTTTGCTACGGAGAGGTCAGAGGGAGTCTGGCACCGAGCGATAATGAGGGTCATTTGTCCATCAGGGCTGACCCCTCCACACACACAGCTCCTTCTTTTATCACCTCAGGCCCTGATAGGAAAATGTTAAGGGCTTTTTTTGGTGTTGTTGTTTTTATGGGACGGTTGGATCTGCTCCTGGGGTCAGCTCGGACCTGTTTCAGCTTGATGAAGCTGTGGTTGGAGCGATGATGATCACCCTTCTCTTGTTACAAACCGCTCCTTCCCACACAGTTTGAGCTGCTCTACAACTCATTTAGACAGGCAGTCTCCCATGACACATGGCTGCGATCCTGATTCTAAAATTCCCAACGAGAGATCAGAAACAAGAAGCCTGAGGGATGAYGACTTCAACACCTTGAACATTTGAAATTACCTTTAAAATGTCCTCACCCTCTGACAGAAACTGGTTCTACTGATTAACCATTCAGAGGTCATCAAACATCATCAGGCTGTTGGCTCGTTCACTTCAAACACAGCCTCTCACATGATCACACGTTTTCTCTTCACAGCTTTTTACCCTTCATGTCACAAACCTGATGAAAGCTTTTCTCTGTCCGTGTCAGACTCTTCGCCGTCCGACAGCACCAACATGAGCACCCCCGGCCACCTGGCAGCGGGCAGCTTGTGTGCCATWTGTGGGGACCGGGCGACGGGCAAACACTACGGGGCCTCCAGCTGCGATGGCTGCAAGGGCTTCTTCAGGCGCAGTGTCCGCAAAAACCACATGTACTCCTGCAGGTGAAGGAAACACTCCATAAACATCTGTTATTATAYAGCTTTAACTCTATATGAGACCAAAGGAGCAACTTTTCTTGCTTCTTTTGTCAAGTTTCTCGTCTGAACCTGTTTGTCCATCCCGGCTCCAGGTTCAGCAGACAGTGCATTGTGGACAAAGACAAGAGGAATCAATGCAGATACTGCAGACTGAAGAAATGCTTCAGAGCCGGCATGAAGAAAGAAGGTAGGAAGTTTTTATCTGTCTCATTCAAACTCAAATGTCTTTTTGTACAATCAAAACATGTTTTTTTTTCTTGAAACAAACAAAAACAAATTTCCCAATATAATTAGGAAATCCCTGTGTCTCCATCGGATTGATCTGACTTGACTGCAGATGTTGCAACAGCCAGCAGAGCACTTCTTTGTTAATGTTCAGTCGGCGCAGCGCTGAAGGCTCGCAGTGGCTTTATGCTGAGCAAACATTTCCAAGCAATAATGGCCATATACTGATAAACATGACAACCTCAGAGCCTTTTTTTTCCTTCCTGCATCTTAGGATCCTGTCTTTGTGCAACACGAGAATGAAAAAAAAAGCAACTTACTTTAACCATTTGTTTCAGTTTAATTTCAACTTGTTGGTACAAGAACTGCACTGTTTGCATCTGTTCAGTTATTAAAGGCCAGAGTTTGAAACTAAAACTATCTGGTTTGGGTAGATTCTCACTTATTCTAAGTTTTAATGTCCTGTCGTTTTGTTTTTAAACTCTTAGAATTTGTGAGACGTCACGCTCAAAGTTAGACCAATATTTTATTATTTATCAWTATGTATCGTTATTTAACAGGCAAACCCACTGAGATCACAGATCTCTTTTGCAAGGGAAGCCTGGGCCTGAAGGCAACATATTGTACAGTGGTGGGAAGCACTGATCTAAATATTAGTTACACTAACCCTAAAGCACTAACTCAAATATTTAGGTCCCCTAATTCAAAAGCACTAAAGCACTGAAACATTTAGCAGAAGTTAATTCTAAAGCACTAATATAATCCATTTGACACATAGAACATTCTTCTGAGTCAACATGAGACAATAATTACCGTGTGCAGACTTTTGTCACTTAGTGCCCTTGGCGGGCCAAATGGGAGTCACCTGCAGGCCACATTTGGCCCGCGGGCCTTGATTTGACACGTGTCCTTGTAGATAAGTGATACACATATGAACAAAATGTGTGACAGCTTTCACCCTCAACTGTGAACAATAATGTTGATCAATAACTTTTATTGACCTCAGTTAGTGCTTCTAAATTTAGCCAATAAATTTAGCAAGTGCTAATCCACTGATGAACTTACACACACACACACACACACACACACACACACACACACACACACACACACACACAC